GATTACACCGAGAAGTATGCTTCCGTTTTCGCAGGGGCGCAGTCGCCAGAGTCGATTTTGCGGTCCACTGTCAGAACCGATCAGTAATCTAATGTGGGGTTTGGGCCAAGTGGCTGGCTGAGTCCTGCAAATAGTCTCTGCGGGCCACATATGGTCAAGCTCCTCCCCCCGCCCCCCATAACATAGGCTTTTATAAGGGTGTTAGACGAATCCTTTATAGTGTGTGTGAGTGGCTTAAATGCCACAAAACAGTCTGATGCTCTACTGACTGAGCTCTACCGACGGAGCGGTAAACTGGCGTCGGCAGTCCCTTATATGTGTACCTGCGTATATCGGGGCTGTTGCTGTTGCCGGTCCCACCAGTGTGTGTCGGCGCATGCGAACATCATATGACTGTGTACGTGTCCGTTGAGTAAGTACATGAAGCAGTGCCCGCCTTCATCGCCGGCAGTCGTATTTGATGCTATAATGACCTGATGGCCCGTGCTCCACTTACCATCTGTAGTAATTTTATCTGCGTTGTTGATCATTTTGCGTGGTAATTACTTGACAGTTTGGTTCGCTTTCACCGGAATTGTTCACTCGCGCCCTCCCCGCATTGCTAATTACTCTGCCAGGTTGTCACAGTAGAGCGCATAGTAGGAGGTCATTTCGCCTGATAATATACTGCGGGCTGGAGAACCATGATTTACGCAGCTTGCATTTCACACAAGAATTTCGGCATCGTCAAACTTGAAGGTGTGTTCTACTTCCGTCGAGTGAGTCACAACCTGAGAACCGGCGTTATTCCTCAATGTCCTTGCATGTTCAGCCAACTGAGCGTAGAGTCATAATTTAATGTCACCCGTATATTCGCCTTACCCACAGTGGTACCAGTTCCACTAAATGACTCTGGGTGTTTCCTTGGTTGCAGTTTGTCTTTCGGTCTCATTACTTGGCGTGCTTCTGGTTTGTGGGTAATTTCAACTGTAAATGATGACAGAAGGCGGCTGATGACCTTCACATACCAGCGGGATTGCCAGATCTGTTGCAGTTGTGGACAATAAATACGTTGCGGCTCGTTCGACAAGACTGCCTACACCTTGAAGTTTGACAAGGCCGACATTTTTGCAAGGGGTGACAATTGCATGAGCCGCGAGCTGCTTGAATCACTGTTCTCCGTCTCACACTCAACGAACATGCTCAGTAAAGCCTCGTATGGTATGTGTTGCGATTTTGCCTGGACAGAATACTTAGGCTTGCGGAGAGGCGCGGGTAGTCAGCAGTTCCAGCTACAGCAAATTCATTTGTCGTCAGCCGAAAACAACAACACCGATAAAGCTATGACCATCAGTGACTCGCACGAGAACTGTCGGATAATTATCTTATTAAGTACGACCGCCGTCAATGAGGGAGGGAACTTTAAATGATAGTAGGAATATAACCGCATGGAAACAGCGTCATATAAATGGTACACTCTTAGTGCTGTCACTTTTCCTATAATTGACTGTCTCTGAGGTTAGATTCGAGCAAGGCTCCGAAATTTCGGGTCAATGGCTTTCTTGTTCCAACAATCGCATCTTCTGAACTGAGATGATCGCCGCTGTTCAATATAGGCCTCAGTCTATTTCCGGGATCACGCACTGTCTACCAGCGTCGTGTTGCTGTAAAGAACTGATTTGCATTCCATTTTGGTAAAATTGCTCGCCCCATGGCCTTAATGACCATTTCCAAAACTAATTTTGTAAAAGACTCAGATTGTCAATGCGCTATGTATAAAACTGCACCTAAAGTTATTTCTTAATATTAAATTTTAGACTTCCAGACGGACTCTGTCGTCGTGGAGACATCAATATACTTCTCCTGGGTGATCCGGGCACGGCAAAGTCACAATTGCTGAAGTTTGTAGAACGCTGTTCTCCAGTTGGAGTTTATACATCTGGCAAAGGAAGCTCGGCCGCAGGCCTTACCGCATCCATTATCCGCGATCCCGTCACTGTAAGTATTCTTTCTGCTACATCATGATCTATATGATAGCAATGCCTTCTAAAAGTTATGAATAGTATTTTTATGGGCCGAAGCGCTCTTCGTCAGGTTAGCTTTATCATTACTGTCGTCTTGCAGAATAAGGTGTAAGGGAAATCTATTTGGATTCCCCAAGTCCGGCCACCTGGCGCGGATTAACTTCCTGGGCTAGATCGCAGAACATTTCGTTACTTTACTTCATCTGTATTAAGCGACGAGGCCCACCATTGTGTTGGATAGAAGACAGCGGTTATCTGCGCTGTCTTAGTAGACTTTAGCGACATGTAATACACTGCACACCCCAAAATGTTCCATTGGCAAGATAGAGTTCAAAAAACCAGAAATAAAAGCAGACACGACAGTCGATAAGACCGAGACCACTTCATTCGTATCACACATAATGGACCCTCTGTGCACGCCCACCAAAGTTCTAGATGCGATTTCGGACTACGCGTAGTGAAAAATGACTGAAGGGCAGTTTCACTTAGTCAGACCGAGTAAAGTGTAGTTGGTCGGCGTGACCTGAGGCTACTGTCTTAAGCGTGTCACACGCAAAACCTCGCGCAAATGATGCGTCACCTGTCATTCTATACCTTAGCACGGTAACTGGGCTGAAAGATGGATCTGATGGTAGTTAACAGGTCTTATGTTACTGGTACTACAGGGGCGCTGGGCTGCGTTCGCAGGTGTTCTAGTACGCTTATTATAATGTCTCAGCAGACAACCTTTCATATCCATTTACGTATTATAGGTGTATGACGAGAAAATGGGGCGGATACAGATGTTTGCGCAGCAGTGATAGTTCGCACAAAACCCTGCTTTGCACAGTCTAGCCTTGTGAATGTTTCGGGGACTTAACCGTTGTCTGCCACGCAAACTATCATTCCAACGTTCAGTTATTGCATCATGTGTGCAGTGTGAATCGGATATGCGAATTTTAGTATTATATAGTTCCGCAAATATTCCCATTTTACAATTGAGAATTCATGTTGGCAAACATATG